GATATCCTACACCGTGATAATAGAAATTCTGCCAGGAATGATGAAATGTTGTAAGAGCCAGGGGGCAAATTTGTGTTTGACCTTGCGATCAAGGCACTCATGAGACATTTTCGTCGTACTGGTTCTTACAGCATTTCACCATTGCTGGCAGAACTTTTATTACCACAGTCTGGGATATGTACTAACAAAAGAAAGAAAAAGAAACGGAATCTAAATGAAACAGGCTATATTTAAAAAACAAAAAAAAACGACTTAATTTTTTCATATAACTAGCAAAAGGCGAGTTACATGAAAATGTTATGTCGATTTCCTAAATTTCATTTTGTCCCGTGAACCTCCAACAGAATGTAGCTTTTTTTTGTCTCCGTACTCTCTATGTAGCCTTTGTTTGTCTCCTTACTCTGTATGTAGCTTTTCTTTGTCTCCTTACTCTCTATGTAGCCTTTGTTTGTCTCCTTATTCTCTATGTAGCCTTTGTTTGTCTCCTTACTCTCTATGTAGCCTTTGTTTGTCTCCTTACTCTCTATGTAGCCTTTGTTTGTCTCCTTACTCTCTATGTAGCCTTTGTTTGTCTCCTTACTCTGTATGTAGCTTTTCTTTGTCTCCTAACTCTCTATGTAGCCTTTGATTGTATCCTTACTCTCTATGTAGCCTTTGTTTGTCTCCTTACTCTGTATGTAGCTTTTCTTTGTCTCCTTACTCTCTATGTAGCTTTTTTTGTCATCTTACTCTCTATGTAGCCTTTGTTTGTTTCCTTACTCCCTATCCCAATTCCTGTTCTGCTGTTCAAATTACACGTTATTTAGGTAGGTTTAAGTTTCAATCTGCCCATCTTTCCTGCGATAGACCCTGTGAGTGTTAAATTTCCGAGCCTTATTTCTTAACTATTAAATTTCAACTGTTTCTTTCTTATTGTAAATATGTTTCCTTTTCGTTATCATCACATATTTACTCCCAAGTAAACTCACCATCCTTCTGTAGAACCACACCTTTTTGCCTCAAGTTTATTCTTTGTGAGGAAATTGTCCGTCATTCACTGCCATTTCGAATTTCTACACTATTTTTCATATTTTCATATTTCTTGTTGATTTGCTTAGATTTTGAAAAGCATCTTTCGCCATTCCCATGCGATTTCTGATTTCGTTGTCACATCTTCTGTTCTCTCTTATAATACATTTCAGATTGTTATTCTTGGCATCCTTTCTAGTAACTTGTTAAAGTATGTTGGTGGAAGTGATTCCTAAGCAGTGTGTAAATGTGTAAACAAAGCTTGCTCATTCTTAAGCAGTTCACTTCAAACTTTACGATCAATTGCATCCCAGACTAGTTCAATTGGTGAAAGATCTGAAAAGTAAGGGTACCAATTCATGATTTGCAGAATTCCCTTATCTTCCTTTGATTTTAGATAATTTGTACACAGTTTCGAGCTGTGTTTTGGATCTTTATCTTGTTGTAAACAAAATCGTCTTGAAATATACGGCAGCCAGAAGGAATTGCATGCCTCTGAAGTATTCAATGAAATTCTTCCTTTTACATAATGCCTTTAATTTGAACAAAGTCTCCAGCAATCTCACTTTCAAAACAGCACTAAACCATTACGGCAGCACTAGCATGATTAAAAGTTGGCACAATGAAATTCTCACTCCTTCGTTCGGAAGGAGTTCGCCTGACAGACACCCTTTGTTTACTTCCAAAAAGCACAAACTTGAATTCATCAGTCCATAGTACGTTTTTCCAATCATCTAAAGTCATTCCTTGTGCTTTTATGCCTATTTTAATGTTTTCATTTCACTTTTCCTGTTTTAATAGAGTTTTCTTAATTGATATACATCCTTTAACCCTTTGACCCCTGCGTTCTTGAACAATTTTAACCCTTCTGCCTGAGGTCCCGAGTCAAAATTCGCAAATAATTAGTATGTAATGTTTCACGGTAGATATATAAATAGTTACAAGTGTTTACCCTGTGGCTGGGCATAAAGTCATTTTTTATACCACTGTTCAACCGGCAGCTTGGCATTACGACATTTTTCTCTATGTTGTAGAGTAGTTTTCACAGTGAGGGCTTGTATTTCAATAAGTCGTCCTAAATTAGGTTCGACGTACAAAACGTTAGGAACTTGAAATAAGAGTTAATGACGCAGCAAAATAGTTGTGATGGTTGATACTTCAATGTCCGACATCGACTGACTCACTCAACACCACTGAGCCCAACTGGCGGCCGCTACTACTACTACTACTACTACTTATTATGTGTGGGAGATTCTATTAATAATAGAATAGGTACGTTCAGGTATGACACTCTACCACCGGTAAATCGGTGCTCAGGTCTCAAAGGGTTAAACCCAACAGATATTGAATGTTGTGTAGAATTAAATTCAGTAGTTAGTTGGGGGAGCTGTTTTTTTTTCTTTTGCCCTTTTTGAGTCTATCGTCCGCAGCAGATATTACTCTGCACCCCCTCCTCAGATCTTTTTCTGTCAACATTTGCGCCGGTTTCTGCATGTCGCTGCCAGAAATAATGCACCCCAATCTTTGATATCGGTAATTGTCTATCAATCTGACGTTCGAAATACCAGACACACATTTATTACATACTGTCGACATGGAAAACGCATGGATAAAAACAATTCCTTATTCTATTTCCGATCCATTCTGAAGGATTTCCATTTCAAAACTCGGACACCTTAGGCGAAGAATATAAAATGTTAAGCGATTTTTTTTTAAAGTCATTCTTTTTCTTTCTCTTTTTTAGTCTCCATCAACACCAACTTGAGTAAGATAATATAAGATTTAATTATTTTAAACACACACAAAGGCATACACACAACACATTTTTTGATTATTCATCTGATGAAGCCATATAGGCGAAATGCAATGTAGGGTATTATATTCGAAACATACTTTCATGAACGTTTTTCAAAATGTCAATAACTTATAACTCTGTCTGGATTGACTTCCTAAATTTATTACATACCATTCTATAGAAAGAATTTGCACTTGGGCACTTTTTTCAATACTGATCGGTTTATTTCCTTTGCATTTTAACGGCTTCTGAAAATTAATTTCAATCACACATTAATTTAGAACCTCTAGCAAGCATTGCAGTTGAAATATTTGTAAATTTCTGATTTACAGTTCAGAAAAGGTATTAGGTTGTAACAGACATTTCCAAAGCTTATGCAAATAAATTTATAATGGTTGTAGAAAAAAATTGTTTTAAATTTATATAAGGGTTTGCATATATACACAAGAGGTGAATTTATTTATCCAAATATGCAAAATTAGCCTTCTTACGGATTTAGCGAAACAATTTAGAATGAGCCCATACTTTTAATCAGTAGTATATATATATATATATATATATATATATATATATATATATATATATATATATATATATATATATATATAAACTACATATATATATATATATACATATATATATATATATATATATATATATATATATATATATATATATATATATAAAGTGAAACATAAGTCAACACTTAGGGGCGACAGTATTTTTTCATGCTAGATGTAATCCTCAGCCAGGTGTCCTGAGGATTGCATCTAGCATGAAACAGACTGTCGCCTCTAAGTGTTGACTTCTATGTTCACTTTATATTTACACACTCTATCTCTGATATTGAGCACTTTATCCCATAAATATAGCACATTTAAGACTATATATATATATATATATATATATATATATATATATATATATATATATATATATATATATATATAACATTAGTGGTAAATATACATACATATGCAAAATATATAAATACCCATACATGTATATTTTAGAATAAAAATTCCAAGAGGAAGAATCACGTAGAACTCAATATCCAGGACAGAGTAAGGATATAATAAAAAGGCTTAAAATATATATATATATATATATATATATATATATATATATATATATATATATATATATATATATATATATATATATATATATATATATATATATATATATATATATATATATATATTCTGAGTATGAGTATTTGGATAGCTAATTTTTAAAGGCAAATACCTTTAAAAAAGTCAGGCATTTGTGTTGATTCATTTTAACCAATAATCCTTCTCAAACATGGAGGCAATTCCATAAGATATAGTCCGAAGTTCATTTCGGAAGAAAAGTACATGATATATAGTTCAAGCTTTCGACTTTCTTAGGTCATCATCAGTATAGGTATAAACAGTTAGTGAGATTAGGTACAATTTTGAAATGGTGTAACAACGCTATTTTTTAATAAGCTGGTAGAAGGATGTGAAACGTGGAGTGCATTCTGGGATCTAAAGACTTATCTATATCTAAAGACTTAGAACTAATGAGTGCTGTAAGATGAGTGAGGTGTAAAGTGTGTTTTCTTTCGAAATTTCAACGCATATCACCTGAAGAAGGCCGGGACGTACAACGACCGGAATGGCGTGAATATGACAATAAAGGTGAGGAAACCAGTCCGAAGAATTATGTTTTTATGTACGTTTTAGGGTACCTATTTAAAAATCTAGATATACATTAAATATATCTGTAAAGGCAATATGAATAAAAGAAAAACACGGGGAATCATCTGTACCTACAAACACGATCATAAAAAAATTAAAAAAGATTAAAAGAAACGCGTAACTGAAGATTTTAAATATATAAAATACATAAATAATTAAACAAAATAAAATAAGGCAAAATAAATTATCAGCCTCCTTCTATCGAACCACATCCTTGTTGCCTCAAGTTTCTTCTTTATGAGGAAATTGTTGAGCATTCCCTGTTATACAGGAGGATTGATAATACATAGCAGTTTAGCACTATTTTCTTTGTTTCTAACGACATTTTTTCTCTTTCTTATTACGTTGATTAGCTTTTGGAAGACATCGTTCTTTATTCCAATGCGCTTTATGATCTGTTATACTTCCAAGATGTCCACAGCTATCTGCATTTATTGACTTTGCATTCTTCCTCGTTATTTTGGTGCTGTCTTTTACGGACCTACCCTAAAAGAGACGTATATAGAGAGAAAGGTAGAGATAGATAAATAGGTAGGGAGACAAGGGAAGAGATAGATAGATAGATAGATAGATAGATAGAGGGAGAGAGATAAAGAGAGAGAGAGAGAGTTAAAAATGTCTCGATGTCTGTTCAAGTCAGCTGCAAATTAACTTGAAAGCAATATATTTATCTCTTATCTGATTAATCTATTTTTCAAACACACCGAAGTAGGAATATAGGACGTTCTTTCTAAACATCCAATCAAAATATAAGAGAATTTAGTTGAAATCCACAGAAAAGCTGACATATTTGGCCATAGCAGAATTCCCTAAATGCGTCATCATATGTAAGGTCCGAGCTAACTTTTGAAATCACCAATTTTAAATGTTTCTGTTACATGTGGGTTTTATTTAGTTTTTTTTATACTTCCTCTCTGTGTTTATTATTATTATTATTATTATTATTGCTTGTGTGTTATGTTTCCTGCTTTGTATCCTGTAGAGCCGTGTCTAAACTATGGTCCTTAGGCCCTATAAGAAAATTGTTATTTAATTGATGGCACTTTTCTTAGTATATGGGATGCTCCTATTAGGCTAATCTTCTGGGCAACTTGTATGTTGATGTTACCTGGGACACTGTTAGTAAAATTGTCCATTCCTTTTCTCACGAGGCCCAGAGCTCCGATTACCATTGGAAGAGTCTCAGTTTTAATTTCATACATCTTGTTAATCTCGATCTCCAGGTCCTTGTATTTGGACAATTTTTCAATAATTTTTATAGAGGTATTTCTCTCAGATGGTACTGCTATGTCAATAATAATAATAATAATAATAAAAATAATAATAATAATTATTATTATTATTATTGAACCTCTTGTTAATATCTACATATTGCAATTGGAAGTAAATTGCACTTATCAATTTTTGAATAATTTAAAGAAATTTTTTCCCCACCTATTGAATTTCCATTCTTACTGGTGCCGGGCGAATCACTTAAAGGATCTCTTTTGCGTACCTTCCTTAAAAAATGTGTCGTAAAATCTAATGCAGTAAGAGTAGATTAATTTCCCGTCAGATGTTTTATTTGATAGGAGACATCAGAACTTATACTAAGTTAAAGCGAATGAACACTTAATAGTTAATCTGCCAACAGATTCGTAAGCTCCATATTTAATACATATCTCAACTTAATTTCACACTAGGACCTCACCGCCATCTCACTGTTTTTATTGTTTTCTTTATTTTTGCTTCTCTTTTTTCTTTGCCTAAACCCCGATATAACCTTTAAGAGCAAACCTTTTCTGGAGTACTCTCAGCCAAGAAAAAAAAAAAAACAGAAGCTAAAAACTTTATCCGCTAACACTATTGTTGTGAATAAACAAGAGTCGCCTCCCCTTGTTTTGTTACTCTCCTCTTTGAGAGAGTTATTTCTATTTACTGGAACTATAAAAGGGCCCTATACGCGAACCTTGTATTCTCAGTTGAATAAAGTTTTTTAAAACTTTCTTCATTACAACTATTTGTACGAATATAACTATTTTGTTTTGTTTATTTTTTTACTAATGGTTTCGCGTATGAAATTTCACCCTAACAGAATCGTTATTTGAGGAAATACTACAAAGTGAAAGGCGCCTACTTTCATGTCATAATACTTTGGACTGCAACTTGACATAAACAGAATTCAAGATTTTTACTCGGCTCGGATGAAACTATATTCGCTAATATAGTTGTGTCCAATTGAATTGCATCGAGTTACGTCTGATTAGTTTTTTCAATTTTGCCTAAGGAAAAGTACTTGATGAAGTGAAGTAAATGGATGGCAGAACAAGATTTAGGAGAAATAACAACAAAAAAAAAGAAACTTATTAAGAGTTATAAAGAACAGGAAGATGTGGGGGGGGGCATGATCGCCTACGACCTGAACGGACACAGCACATGAAGAAGATTAATGAAAGCTTTTTAACAACAATAATTTAAAAAAAATTCCTTATACTAATTTCTTTATTCTACATATAAATATTAATTTCATATTTATTGCAAATTCTCATTAATTCAACTTGATTGTGTGATCTAATTTTATTTTTTACAAGGGGTTCACACATTACACTCCAGGGTGACCCGTACTGTAAAAAATTAATATAGATCGTTGTAATTGATGAAAGGGGATAAATTTCGTTCTGATGAGGCTAGATGTTTGTAGTTACCGACACTAAGTCTGTAATGGTTGATATCCTTAATTACATTACGAAAGAAAAAGAAAAAAAAGTATTACTGTACATTTGATCAAGCCACTCGATATATGGATAGGAGGGGGAAAATAACGGTTAATTCTAGACTTCAACAGGTTAAGATTGTAGTGATCGGGAAAACATCCTGTTGGAAGTCGGTTCCACAGGGCAGCAGTTAGCGGGAAGAAGCTGCTCGGGTGGAACTTAATTCTCGCCGATGAGATACGGAGGAATCAGCGCATATGCTAGACCACAAAAATCTCCT